CACTTGAGCATGGTGGAACTTTAATATGCTTTCAAATTCAGGTTGATAATATTTTGTTGAGGACTTTTACAACTGTATTCATCAGGATTATTGGCCCCTACTTTTCTAATAATGTCTTTGTATGGTTTTGATGTGAGGATAATGCTAGTTTGATTTTTTGGGAAGAGTTTAAGAAGGACTGTTCTTGATTTTTCCTTAAGTGTTTGGTAGATTTTAACAGTGAAGCCATCTAGTCCTCTGCTTTTCTTTTATAGGAGTCTTTTCATTATTGAGTAAATTTCCTTATTCATCATTTATTCAGATTTTCTATTTTGTTATGATTCAGTCTTTGTAGGCACTGTGTTTCTTAAATTCATCTCGATCACAAATACAGTAATGTAACTAATAAAATTATATTAACAATAATGCTAATACACCACTAAGTCTCAGTTTCAAATTGCACAACATAATTTTAGTTTTCATTGCCTATTCATATATTAAAAATTACATTAAAAATTCAAGAAAAACCATTGCAAAGCAGAGTTGGTAAATTATGTGTTTACAGTGTCTGTACAGATTGTCAAATGACCTCAGGGAATATAACCTGCTGTAAAGATTGTCAGATGACCTCATGGAATATAACCTAGCATCCTGATTGTGAAGTTCTGCCTTTCAAGTTATCATATTTTGATTATTATAGTCACAGTTATAGGTTGCTAAAATGATTATCAGTTTTTATGGTATGACATCCTTTTAAATAATGGCAGGGTATTTTGTGATTTAATTTAGATTAAGACATCTAGAACTGATATGTTTCATATTTTAGATCATATTAGTGAAGACTAATAGGATTAGGCTCCCAATGAAAGCATAAGAAAGAGACCACACTAATTCAATAAAATGTCGTAATATATTCCAGAACATCCCTACCTGCAACTTTGTGCCTTTCCCACTAACTCCTGTCCTAACTGTGAATGTCCTGTAATGAGATTTGGGAGAGCTCTGCAGCTCTTCTCCATTAGAGAGATGGGGGTGGGGTTGGGAGGCAAATTGCTGGGCCTGTGCAATGTGTTGTCTCCCTTTGCCAAAGGGAAGATGAAGTCCTTGGGAGGCAGGAGGAATACAGCTCAGACACACATAACACCCAAGTCTAATGCTGGCTTAGGTGGGTTTCAGTTAAACACTCGTGAATTATCAGAAGGTACAGTTTGGTAACCACACTTTTTAAAATGTATTAAGACGGTGCATAATTTTTAAGTATCACCTAATAAACAAGGTACTTTTATTCAGTAAATAAACAGCTGAAGCCAAACAACATTTGATCCATTTTTATATTTCTGCAACTTAACATAGTCTCTGACATTAATGATTTTTAATAAGTACGTGTTTGATGGCACTACAAATTCAATTTCAATGGGAATACAGATATTGTCTTGAATAATTATTCAAGGAAATTCATCATGTATTGGTGATTAGTTTAGAATAATATTCTAGGAAAATACTATTTGTGGGTGCCTGATCACTATTATAAAATTAAAGGTATACTAAAGATAAATAATCAATGTCATTTAGTAGATTTTATTGCCATATTCATGTATGGCCTCACAAAGATCCACTCAGAAGGTGACATTTGCATCTGGATTTCTATATTCATTTGAAACTCCCTGTTAACAAGTGTATGCTCAGACTCATTATAAGACTTCTTGGTATAACATGCTAATTACTTTCCTGCACTCTAGCTCCCAAACCACAATGAATCATATTATGAAAGCAAATCACTGAAAACTTCAAACAGCATGCGTCTTTCAGATGCCACTATTAAGGGAAACATAATGATGGGGAATCTTTGATGTTATCAGATGTGATGGAAACTACACATTTGTATTTGTGTAAATCCTATAGACTGAAGCATTTCCCCTACCCTTAAATAACCTGAAACCAATTTCAAGTTCCCAAATGCTCTTCAAAGCAGCCTGCCTTGGAAGTAAAGCTGATGGCATTTCATATTTCAAGGAAGCTTGCTTTTTCCATCTCAGGACTTCAAGCAGATTTGAAATTTTACTTTCAAAGAGAAAAGATATTACCTGCTTTTACCCAAACCACTAGCCCTGGTTTGATGATGAGCAAAATGTCATAGGTAATGAACTTATCTATGGTAATGAAACTATGGTATGTAACCTTGTAGCTCAGAGTCTGAATACTGCAGCCGATTCCAGGGAATTTTGAACTGTGTTTAGATACTTCATGGTGCCATTCTTTCTTGTTCTTGTGTTGTTGACCAAAAGTTGGAATGTAAACTTTGGAACATGTAACAGAATAACTGTACACAACTGTAATTAGTCCACCTCCTCCTGAATGGGGTGTCTGTGGAGCTGAGACAAAAAATGGTGTGTGCTTGATTCCAGCGCCCACAGGGAGCCCAGACCACACAATTCAGAACATTCATACTATGAATAGCTCCTGTAGCAGGAGGGTCGGTCTGTGGCTTCTTAAAAGGCTTCAGATTTGTGGTCAGTAGAAACATCCATGAGCCTATTTGGGATAAAGGATACAGTGGACCTAGTGAAGTTCCACTAGCATTTAATTAGGTTTCCTGTAATTGCTTTAAGTAAAAGTGGGGAATGAAACCTGAGGTATCCTCTTGGGACACAAAATATTTGTATGTGGTTTTAATATCCTGAGCCCATTTGTTGATGCTCTGAATTTTAGAAAGAGCCATTATAGTTTGAAGGAAATATACACAGCAGGTTTATCAGCCCTTTGGTAACTGTAAATTGGAAGAGCTGTGTTTCCAGTAACTGAATTTCTGCATGAGGAGGGAATGGATAAAGAAGTAAAACAGGCAAAAGCATTAAACACCAGAGTGAGGAAGAAGAAAACAGGAGGAGATGGGGTTGGGAGAGAGGTTGCATTCCATCTATCCAAAGACACAAATTTCTAGATATTAGAAAAATGAGAAAAATTATAGTAAGATCAGAAAAACAGGAGGCCTGAGCAAAGCCAGGAAAGAGGGTGGAAAGTAATGCTATTCACTGATAGTTTGGGATTTTTGCTGTGAAGATTGTTATATCAGTTGGACATTGGCTAAAATAATATATTGGCTTTTCAGACAGGGTTGAAGGGTTGCATTATAGCAGTTCCTTGAAATTTCTTTTTAAACTGGTCATTGTATAAACATGATAGAATTACTAATTTTCAAAACTTTAAGATATTTTTAAATATACTCAGTAAACTTTTGACAATGGATCTCATCCTTTCTTATGATTCTAAAACCCACTTTCCTGGTCCTCAATCCAATAGAGAGGATCTTTAGTGGACCTAAGAGCCTACTAGTTCCCATGACTCAAGCCCTCTCAGCTCTTAATAGAAAATATTGTTCACTCCTCTGGGGGACAGTACCTGCTTCCACTGGGTGGTTGTTAATTTCCTGAGTACTCTCACTCATTTGAGTATTTCTTAGGTGTTACAGAGAAATTTCTGGAATTCCTTTTTAGGGGTTTCCCAAAGGCATACTCTCTCCTGTCACTTTTGATCAACATTACAAAAAAATTATTACTTTTTGGAACTTGTTAAACTCCAAGAAATTGAATAAATAAATATACACCCACTGACATACATATACACACATGCACAATATCACAATATACACATGCACTCACACACATGTATATATTTTATATGTATCATATGATACATATAAGATGTATATATATGTGCGTGTGTGTGTGTGTGTATATGTGTATATATGTATGTGCTCCCACCCTGGGCTCTCACCATATAATGCTACCAAGATAGCTCACATTGGTTCTATCTTTCATGCTAGATTGAACTTCTTTGTTACTTTCTCTCATCCCTATAGCTCGCCTTTGCAGCATTAAAAACAATTATTCTTAAATAGTAAATAGTATACCCCATTGTTAATATGAGTAATTAGAATTTCTCTAAGTGCTCAGTACAATATCTTTTATGTAACTGACAATAGATACTTATTCAATGAATGAATAAATGTAAGGTAAATAGTGCAAAGTGATTTATTTAATCATTCTTATTGTGTGCCCTTACTTGGCTCAAAACAAGTTATCCTACTCCCTGGATATTCTGCTAGTTATCTCAAATGGACACTCTATTCTGAAAATATGTGTATTCCATTTCCAGGAGAACTGAAAGTTCCCCACATACAATGTTCAGATAATCCCTTTTACTCACTGCAAAAATGAGCATTGCAGAATGATTCTCTGTAACAATCTTGATAGCTAAAGATATATATCCTTGAAATGATAATCCCAGATTCTTAGTTCAAGTTTTGTTATCCAAGATTACATAAGGCTGTGAAATAAATTGCAATTATTTCAGCATTTTGGCTGAAGGACTTTAACAAGATTTTAGTTACATTGCAATTACAATGCATCAGGTGGACTTTCAAAATATCTTGCATGAAAACCCTAAAGTCATATATTCTTTGATTAGGATATTAGAGGTATGTTAACTGAAGTATTTCTTTCACACACAAAAAAAATAATGGGCTATTATAATTGAAACACAACTATTAAAGTAATTGAATTGTTAAATTATCACCACAAAGATTATAGATTTAGGTTGTTCTCTCTCATTTCTTGTGAGGAGTTGGAAGACTGTGTATAGCACCTGGAAATCCTAGCCACATTTTAATTGAGGTACAGTCCTTCGATGTGAAATCTGAGTTCACTCCTCAGTAAACAGAGGGCTATAACTTGGTGGGGGATGAATTTTAGCAAGCTCCCTGGGGAAATCCATTATTTTGTAGGGTGATGGATTCACTCCACTTTCATCTTCAGATGAATCCAGAAGATTTGAAATAGCAAATAAGAGAATGAAAAAGTAGTTAAATAAAGCGACAGGAGCCAGCTGAAAAACCAGAGATGAGAGACAACATCTGGATGTTGACCTATGGCAACAAGAAGGATCACTGGGGAGAAAATATGTGTTTCATATTTCATTGGTACAGGTCTTTTCTTGACTTGAACCTCCCTTTCTCTTCTCAGGTCTCATTGTCCGGGAAGTGAGCATTGAGATTTCACGACAGCAAGTGGAAGAACTCTTTGGCCCTGAAGACTATTGGTGCCAGTGTGTGGCCTGGAGCTCAGCAGGCACCACGAAGAGTCGGAAGGCTTATGTGCGCATCGCATGTGAGTCGCTGCACAGACACACACACACTGGGTTTCAGAAACTATGGAAATATCAGAAACTTTAGACCATAACTGATCTAAAGTCTGGGATCAAAATCCCTGGTGAAAAATTGCTCCAGATTTCTTCATTTGAGCTATACATCCCTCTGAAGTCCCAGAGATATCTTTTTTTTTTTTCAAGACACTGGGTAGTTTTCCTTTAGAGATGTGAAAGAAGTCTTCCTACTTTCAAAAGATTCTTATTTTGTTTTAATCTTGTAGCAATTAGGCTATAGGAGAACCAAGTATATTCCTTTTATGAGTTGATTTAAAACTGTATTGAGCAGTGTCCGTATTGGAAATAAAGACTACCCAGATCAAGCTTCTCTGTTTATCTAGGAACTGTTATAGTGCCTTAGAACACAGCCTTGTTTTCCAAATTGTGTTCATTTCTAGAATAGTCATGTTCAGGAAAAGTGCCTCAGGAAAAAAAAGGGGGGGTTCTATAATCAAATAAATGTGAGAAATATATTCTTTGACAAAATTAAATGGTTTATTCATTGTAAAATTTCTCAGATTTGTGGATATGCTAATAGCACATTCTCCCCAAGAGAAACCAAGCCCCTGCAGAACCCTCTCTCCCTGAGTACTCTACTGCTAGAGCAGCATGAGTGTTGCTAGACCGTCTTAAGGTCCATTGAAATTCATATGTTTTATTTTTTGAACCTCTTTAAATGGCTAAAGCTTACTGAATTCTCTGTTGTGGCAGATGTCAATAATACATCTGCTGTGTCAGTAAGTCACATCGGTGCTGACTCATGTGCTCTCAGGTGGATGCTCATCTCTTGCTTCCCTTCATTCAACTTGATCTGGATCTGGACCATTGCAGACACTTCCCCTTAGTCTCCATGGCTAAATCTTTTCCCTGTTCTAGTCCTTCTTCCATGTTACCACGAACACAGTCTTCCTTAAACTTAGGACTCAATCTCACTTCTACCCTTGCTTAAAATGTTTCAGGGACATTTAAAGTCAAAATTTCTTATCAAAATATTAGAGACCAGTGCCTTAAAAATCAGAAATTAACTTTCTCACAATTCTGGAGATCAAGGTGTTAACAGGTTTGCTTTCTCCTGAGGCCTCTCTGGGGTTTGCAGACGGCCACCTTTTCACTGAGTCCTCACATGGTCACTCTCTCTCTGTGTACACATCCCTTGTATCTCTCTGAGTGTCCAAATTTCCTTTCCTTATAATGATAGCCATCAGATTGGATTAAAGCCCAGTATAACTGTTTTATTTTAAATAACTCACCTCTTTAAAGGCCTTATTTCCAAATATCAAAGGGTTCTATAATCAAATAAATGAGAGAAATATATTCTTTGACAAAGTTAAAGTGGTTTTAGTATAAGAGGTTTAGTATAAGATTCTGAGATACTAATGGTTAGAGATTCAAGGTAAGCATTGGGAGCAGGGAGATACAGTTCAGCTCATAACCACCACATTTCATGATTTCCATATCCATGCTATGTTTCAAGCTCTGACCACAAAGGATTTCTAAACGTTAGTCATACCAGATTACAAATGTTTTAATCTCCATGCCTTTGGACTGTTGCTTATGCCTAAAGATTTCACCCTCGTCTTAGTTCCTGTTATACTTTTTTAAATTAATGTATTTGACAAACATTCAGTGAGGATTTACTCAGTTCTGGGACAATTATAGGTATTAGGGATGGTGGGGAAAGCAAAACATATAATCACGGTTGCCCTTGTGGTACTAGTCTTCTGGTGAGGAAATGAAACCTCTGTGTAAAATAAATAATAACCAGTTAAGGAGCAGCTAGTATGTGCTGTAAAGAAAAATAAAGCAGGAAAATGGAATGGGTAGTCAGGGTGAAGCTGGTCAGGGAAAGTTTCCTGAATAAGCTGATGGTTGAGTCAATCTGCCTGCAGGAAAAGGACCAGGTGAGGACTCAGCTGTCCAACCGAGCAGCAAGGGATTCGATTACAGACCTCTGAGGCAGGCACATGCTCAGCATCATCCAGGCAGTGTGGTTGGGCCATAGAGCCCAAAACAGCCTGTGTGATGGGAGAGACCTGAGGGTCTGAGACAGGTAAGACTGGAGGGTAAAGACAGAGAGGGATGTGTGGAGATGTGGGACTCGGTGCTGTGACATCTTGGTTTTTAGAATAAATGTGTAGAATCTTTTCTGCAGAGGAACTGCATCTGACTTCATTGGGAGAATTACCTAAGGGCTGATGAGAAGAGACCTGGAGTGGCAGCAAGGGTAGAAAGGAAGAGGGCTGCAGCTAGGAGCTATGTTGGGCAGGCTCAGAACAGAAGCAAGGATGGAGTGCTGAGAGCAAGATTCTAGACACATTTAATGTAGAGGGAAGAGCTTTTGTGGAGAGTTAGGATGTGAGAGGAAGAGAAGAAAGAATAGTTCAAGAGACCTGAGCCTTTTTGAAGAATTTCTATCACGTGTCCCTGGTGAAAGCACTCCTGTTCCATGCATGGAGGACAGATATTCCTCTCTATAAATTTTCAGAGCAGTTTGTTATAATTTTAATCTAGGGATTGCCACATTTTAATTATATTCATTTGTTGTAATGTTTGTATTTCATTCCAATGACTTCCTTGAGATCAAGTCTTCGTTTTACTTTATGTCTTCAAGTCTTAGAATAATGCCTAGAAAACCCTAGATGCTTAATAAATGTTTTTGAAATAAAACCACTATAAACCACAAGGAATTCCCTATGAAGTTTATTGAAATGCTGTACATTAATCTTCCCTCTTCGAATATGTCTAAAGAGATTTGCTCTTTGTCTCAAGTGGATTCTCCATGAAATAGACTGTGAGACGGAGACATACTTGCAGAAAATGTATTGAAGAGAACTCTTAGGAACAATAGTCTAAGGATATCAGGATGTTAAGTGGAGGAATGGAGTCAATAAGATTGGGCAGAAGGAGAAATTGAACTTCAGTGGAAATCCAACAGTGGCTAACCTATGGGGAGGTATGGAGCGCCAGCAGCCATGTGGAATTGGCCCACCTGGAGGCAGAGGCCTTAGATGGATTAGTCAGTGGATATGGGCTCCTCATGTACTGCCTACCTCAACAGCGAGTGTGACCTAGGACCAAGCAGCCTTCTTCCCAGAGAAAGATGGAGAGCTGGCAACACCAACATTGCCAATAGGGAGGGGACAGGCCTGAAAGGGGATCTAGGGGGAATATCACCACATCCCCTATAATCTTTTTACACAAATCTCTGAAGAATTTGTGTTATAAGAAAGAAATATGTCTTTAATCATTTTTATAAAGAAACAAAAAACTAATTGTTTTGATTGAAGATTTAAATGAATTCAAAATCAGCTTTGAATTATAATCAAAAGAGGCACAATGATAAAAAAAAGTTTATCTTTATCTTTCATTTCTATGTATATCAAGCACAATAAATATTTAAAATTGGAGTCTATTCTCTATACTAAATTATTGACTTGCCTAAAGCTGAAATTTAAGGGCTGCATAATTTCAAATGCTGGATTTCTATTTAATAAGCTTTCAATTTGATTTGATTTTTAGAGAAGATTGTGGTGCCAATTTTACATATATATGTAAATATTATTGGTATACACATCCTATTTTTCCATGTAAAAATTAGGTACATAAATACAAACCCCCACCCCATCTTTCTATACAACATATTCTGCAAACCTAGCTACTTAATTCGTGGCTTTTAATTGTTATTTGACATTTTCCAATTATAAGAAACTAAACTCTAGGAAGAGATTAATTGATCCATAGCATCTTTTCCCTCCTGTAAGAATACTTAACAGTGGTTTACCTAAAACTTCATAATTAACAGAACTCCTGTGTGTGGCCAGGGAACACCACCCAACATGTGATGATTTGTTCGTATAGATATATATCATGTGAAGAAACAAAACAGGTGAGGTTACAGGTGCTCTCTGTCAAGGCTACTCCCTACCAAGCAGGCCTTGCTAATCCATGCATGTCAATTTTCTAGTCTTCATTGCCTCAAATGAGCCGTGTGTGCTTTGCCTAGTAACACTTGACAGATGGCCATCACATGAAGTGCAATTAAAGTTTAAATTTAATTCACAGGTGAAGATAGCCACAATGCTAAGGTTAAATAAGTACAATGACTTCTCACCTAATTAGATTTATGCTTATTTGGTATACTGTAATGGGTCCATCATTCTTTCTTGAAAAAGTTCTATTGTCAGAAGTTGATTAAGCAGAAGTGAACATTGACTAGTATTTGTTTGCCAAGAATATTCCATACCATCAAACTATATGAGAGAGAGAAAAAATAAGTTTGTGGGGCTGGGGTTATGGCTCAGCGGTAGAGTGCTCGCCTTGCACGTGCAAGACCCTGGGTTCGATCCTCAGCAGCACATAAAAATTGAATAAGTAAATAAAATAAAGTTATTTTAAAAAATAAGTTTGTGAAACAATCAGGGCAGAGGAAAAATACGGAAATTGGAAAGTTTGAATTCACTGAGAACATAGTGGGACTGCTCTACATGCTCTTCCAGATTTCCCAGGTGGCTGCTCTAGCTTCCCTGGCAGAGAGAGGTTTCTGCTGAGAAAGCTCAAGTGGATGCTGCAGTGACTAAGTAGAGCTCTTCTGGCAGCACCGCTGTGAGTGTGGAGGGTCTGTTTCTTCAAGTGTTTCTTGCTAAGGGCCAAGGAGAGGATCTCAAGGTGTGAGGCAGGCAGGAGAATGGAATAGGCAAAGTGTGAGCAAACACTTTGTTTAAGAACCGTTGTGGTTTCAATATTGCTGCTGCTGTGGATGTCGCTGGTGTTGATGAAGCAGTGGTGTGGTCTTCTGGGGAGAGGGAGGGGAGGTGATAAAAGCAGCTAAGTGGAATGGCACTTAGCTGAGGCACATTGGCCTCAGGCCAGGTTGACTTATGTTCAGATCCAGCTTCCATCACTGACTGATGAGATGCCAACCAAGTTACTTAACCTCTCTGAGCCTTAGTTTCATCAACCATGA